AGAGATAATTTACTGTTGGCTTGAAGTTTGCTATTGCATATTTGGGTAAAGTGGTCAGTTTGTCTTTGTTTGAAAATTGTGGTGAAGTTTTTTGGAGGTGACTGGCTAAGCCACACATCACCAAGGCCAAATGTGAAAAGGATTTTTCGGATACCCTCAGACCATGACATACAAGCTGGTCTGAGTGTGTGGACTGCGGGTGGGACATAGGGTGTCAGCAACTTGTAACTATTTATCTCTTGTATGTATGCTTGTTTCATTAGTGTAGCATCAGACATTTGAATAATTTTACACCATAGTTTGACAGATGCAAACTGTATTTTGGTATAGAGGGGAAGGCGGCCAAGTTCAGTGTATACACCATAGTTTGATACGTTTTGATGGAGGCCAAGGATTTGTTTGCAAAATTTTAAGTGCAACTTTTCTGTAGGGCAGTTATCCGTTGACACCGAGTAGCCCCATATCTCTGAGCAATATGTAAGGATTGGGGAAATGAGGGTATCAAATAATTTCTCTTTCAAGGATGTGTTAACATTACTCTGAAGTGGAAGAGACTTGGACAGACTGTTAAGAAATCCATATGTGAACGCAGCTTTCATAGACGTACGTCTATCAGTACACTCGCTTGTACGGAAATGCACATGCGGAGAGATATACATATATACATTCACATTTATAACACTTGTGTGTGTGTGTGTGTGTGTGTGTGAGTGTGTGTGTTATACAACACGTGTTTAAGTGTCATATCTAATTTGTGAACTTTTTTTATCCCACATTCAAACAAGTGTGTATGCGTGAGTGTGTGTGTGTGTGTGTGTGTGTACAAGGGCTCTCGGGAGTGTGGGTATACATGTAATACTTCGTACCAATTCCCTTCCAACTTACACGACAAGTACCTGTCATTGCAATTGACTCATCCATGCTGATCCATCATCAAGAGGGGAGTAGAATATTTGATATTCACTTTAATCACAACCGGGACGTGACTGACCTATATATACAGTGTACAGTAGTGGTCAGATAGCCGCGGCTGTGTCCCTGAAAGTGACGTCCTTAATATGTCGATTTTAGGGTTAAGGTTATTGTGACAAGAGGATGCGCAGGAAGATTAAACTAAAATTGAACCCGCATTTCCCCCCCTCTCTCTCCTCTCTCTCTCTCTCTCTCTCTCTCTCTCTCTCTCTCTCTCTGAATATCTATTTAAAATCTAAGAACCAGTGTGTACAAATACACTTCTACCCCCGACAAATCACCAAATCACACAATCACTCAATTTAAAATTTCACCGACAACTACCGGGTACATCATTAATAACTATTACAACTACAAGGAAACTTCATTAACAAGAGCCACATATAGTGACAATGCATAGCTGGACAGCTATATATCTATACAATAAAATGACACAAGACTACAAAAAGATAATAAATCATATACACATGACACATATAGTCACAGCATGTGGTTTACCGTATTTGCATATGATGTCATGTAAACAAAACTACGATCAAGCAAAACAGCTGGAACTATATTTTCTTAACAACTACTATACACATTATCTCCCCACCTTAACGTCCTCGTGCATGTCCCCGAGTGATGACATTTTGGCTTTTTACTCCTTCGTCAACACAGCAGCGGCGTCCGTTTATATTTGTACTCGCCCGTGTGCATGTATCTCTTATCTAGCTCCACGGCCGTAGGGCCTATATATAGGCCTATAAGTTCCTGTACATATACATATACAAAGAACGCACACAAATGTGATGTAACATACCAATTTGCTGTGCATCACAGGTATTTAATATAAGCCAGAAATTAAGTGTTAAGCTAAGATCGTGCCGCCAAAGGCGTGTGCCTTTATACAATTTGATAAGCAGGTTCTTTTGATTTTGACAGATGTGGCATTCGTAGCCGACTGTATAGAAATATTTTGCATGTCCAAAGTGATCTCAATATATCTTCTTTTGAAGAACACCAATGTAGTAGTCTGTGAATATTCTCGACTTTACAGTTTGAAGTATCGTGATATATTTAGGTCAGATAAGGCAGATAATGGCCAGGGTAGGGACTGACCCAACTACGTATGTAATACCATATGTACTGTACATATATATATATATATATATATATATATATATATATATATATATATATATATATATATATATATATATAGACCTTTCCGGATGTGAAATCACAAGCGGCGTGCAGTACGTCATCGATTACACGGATGCAGGGCACTTTATAAAATCCAACTTGTCATCTGAGTTCTTATTTATCGCACAAGTCGAACCTTTAGCTAAAATTGATTAAATATGATGTTATGTTCATATTAATAATATAACTTTTTGTTATTGCGATCTTGATTTACATGTATCACCATACTTAATGTAAACTGTTAATCTTTTAGACTGAAATATAATACGTCTGGTAATGATATAGATTTTATCATAAACCATTATATTGTATATAGTTTCTGTTATTGGTCTTTTTGGAATTCGACAGCGCATAACTTCGGGTCAAATCATAAATTAATAAAGTAAATGCCCTTCTTGAAAACTGCGTGTTATTTACATGTATGTAATAAAATTTTGGTGTTCTTCTGGAGATGCGATACTAAATTTGCGTCACTCTGTAGACAACAAAGAACAAGTGAATTATAGCGTCACGCTATTGAATCTACGTCACGCTTAGGACTTGACGTAAGTAACGTTAAACGTCACAGATAAAACTGTCCAATCAGCAAAGACCGCACTACAACGTAGCAATTCGGTCGATTAGACACGACAGTCGCATAGATTGAAACTTATTTCTAATAATTGTTTTTCGTACGATCATTATTTACATTCGAAGAAAGAACAATGCCAAGACGCTCGCGCAATGCAAATGTAAGCAAGTTTTCAAGTATAACTTTTTAACAGGGTATCTCAAAATGTTTGATCAAATTCTGTTTCATTTATATGCTTTTCACGTACAGTTTGTGCGAAACGGTTCTGGATAAGGAAGAGTTGTAAATTGGTGTCGTTCATCAGAAAATCATTCTTACATACTCTAAGTTATATATACAATTAATGCGGATGAATCGGGTTGATGTGAATTCCCCCTATTTTTTTTTTTTTTTTTCTAAATACAGGGTCGTGTACCTCCCTGGAGGGACATGAACCGGCCTGTGTTAAGTCGCTGGTGGGCGTGGCTCAACGCCATTCATGTTACCTGGCTGCTCTGTAGAGGTGAAGACAGCGTCCAGGTGGAAGAACAACATGGTATGGAGGTTTTTTCTAATAGTTTTCTTGACAAACAATACCATTATTCTGGTAACAATTACGTTATATTTGGTAGACTTGTAATCAAAATAAGAATCAATGTGAAAATGTAAAGAAGAGTTGCCGCGATATGTTTCATTACGGCCAATGTAACCTACTGTTAATTTTAACATCCTTTATACATTGATTTCATTGAAAATTCCAGGAAACGCTGAGGTCAGCAGGCAAAGAGATTCATCCAACACACAAACGAACGCCAGTGTGCCAAAGGATGTGGATCGCCCTGTGCATGCTGCCACCAACAATCAAAACAATGGTATGGAAACATTTGCAACTGTTTCGTTGGTCCAATTTGTAGCTTTTTCTTTTTAAACCAATTTCGAGGAAATCAGTTGTCAGTGTATATAACTCTTACGTTTGTCAATTTGACTTTCGTTGGCTTGACACACCTTTTTTATATGTAGGCTATATGGAAATACTGCAAACAAAAAGAAAAGTTAACGATACAGTTTTATTTAACATCACTTTTAGCATCATACGATACTGGCCCTGTAGCAAGGGTGTCGCGTTGGAAAAGATTCAAAAAGGGGGTGACTCGGATTTTCTCGCTGAAGAGAAGACGGTCCAAGTACAGGGTAGATACAGCTCCAGCACCACCGACACCTACATTGCCACCAGTATTGACACCACTGCCACGGGAAGGTACACAAGTCACTAAAGTCTAGATTACATTTACACGGGCGCCGTGCGATGAAATTGTCCGTACGATTTTTTTTTTTTTTTGAAATCATAAGGAGTCACGGGCTACGCCGAGTATGTCTACATTACATGGCCTTAAATCCATACGATACCGTGCGATTTCACACGGCCACCGTCTTACTCTTCTCAGACGCCTTACGAAAAGGGTATTACGGGCAGTAGGCCCTATACGTGCACCGTGCGGGCATTGCATTTCAAATCTAATCTAGGCTTAACTGGAGTCGAACTTGCATTGTGAAACAAGCGCGCATCATCGCTTTTTTATTTCTTTTTTGCCAGAGTGGAAATAAGCAGATTTTTAAATCTATTTATTTGTTTGTTTCAACATTTTATATTTTGTACCCTGGCAGATAGTTCAGCCTACAGCATACGCCTAGTTTTGTATACCTGCCACGGTACATATAATTATCTTTCTCATTCATTTCGAGTCCGGATATTTCCCAGACACTTACTTTAAGGTCCATTCTATTTGGCATTGTTTTTATATTTGTTTTTGTAGAATCTGAGGTGGTAACGTTCACAGACATTGTACAGTTTACATTGGAAGAAGAAGAAGACGGAATTCGTTTAGAGGACCTAGAGACGGAGATTTGTGGTAATGCATTGATGTGTCCTCTATAATAAAATTCTGTTTAATATTATTTTCAAAGTAGTTTTTATGTGATAACTTCTTGATGAGCTCTGTTTTGCATGTAAGTGCGCAGTTTATGTTTGTTAAACATAAAAACACCATATATTAAGAACATTATTGAAGATTTAGCAAAATATTAACAAATAAGATATATCTACATAAACTGATTAACATATATTATATTATATTGTTTTTACAGATCATAATGAGATCCATTTGGAAGACTTGACCAGTAGCAGCCCGGAGCGCGTCCTCAAATTCTCACGTCCATCTGGACTCACGTGCGGAGTGGGTCTCTAAATCTACCGTGCTAAACTGACTTACAAATTATCTGCACGCAGACTTTGACTCAGTGTAAATACATATGACAGGCGCTGCAGATATCATAAACATTGTTTGGATAGTATCAAATGAAGTTTGATACACCATGTCAATTTTTTATTATGTCGCAAGCACGCGGGTATTTAGAAATTAAGAACTGTTCTTATTTTTTCATATACATACTGTGACAATATTTCACGGGGATGTTAGTTGTCGTTTGTCCGAGTGAGGTTTGGTCTAGAAACCTGTCGGCTCTTCTCAAAGCAACACCAGCACGAAATCAATAGCTCAGTTGATACTTCTCCGTGTGCGCTGGACAACATGAAGTTGCGAAGAGCTATTCTATAGTAAACTTAACAAACGTGTACATACAATTGCTTTTGTACATAACAATAAAAATGTTTTATAATGTATTCATAAAAAGAAAAAATGTTTTCTCGCAGACAACCAGAAGCTGGTAAACAGAGTGTACAAATAAAATAATTTCCAGCAAAATTCTTGCATTTTTTTTTTCACTCCTGTGTATGGCTTTCATACATACAGCCATTTCGTCAAGGACCAGCACTGTGATGTTAGGGAGAATGTTGGGCAAAAGGATAAACTAGACAGGAAAGTTGTCAAATGTACAGACATCAAGCAGAACATGAAAATAGACAAATGCTATTTCTTCACAACTGCATATAGGGCACAGGGATGGGATATGGTTGGTGTTCAATTTCCACAGCACATACCTTACAGTACTTGAATGAACAAAGGAACTTGCACAAAAAGCATTTTTTTTCCAATTTATTCTGTTAATAAACAATATAACAGTCAACTTTAGAACAATAAAGGGATGCGCAGATAGTTTATGACATTTCCCTGTGCATGCACAACTAGTAATGCACCAGTTTCAATTTTGACTCATTATATTATGGAACTTGGGGTATTTTTTCTTTTACTAAAAAATACCATTGCTCAAACTCGACTTGACTCTACTTTAAATAATATTCATCTAACTGACAATGCTCAGTAAAAATTCTGAAGCTGGGAAATGATTTTTTCTCTTTTCACAATAAACTGAAAAATCATTACGAGCTATATCTGTAGAAACATTTATTGAAAAACAATATATCGAAATTTACGGAAACATGAGAGTTATACGCTTTTATCCAGTCTTCCACAGTCAATTTGGTCTTTAAATGACCCACACTAAAAAAAAAAAGATTACATCACCACATAAATAGTCAAACCCCAGTGCTGTCTCACTGCCTGTGTGCATGAGTTTTTTAAAAGGTATGATGAAGTCACCATAAGGACATTTAATATCCTGTCTTTGCTACTGAGGAAAGTACACTGAGACTAGATTAGCTTTCTATGGTGAGCTAGCCAAATAGAAGACACTCAGATGCCAGGTGGGTCTGAATTAGTACAGTCTAATTCCAATGGAAACATGACTTCAATGACTGTTTTTAGGTCTGTCAACGTTCCAGTGGGAGGCTTGACAAATGCTTCAAATTTCAGGTGGCGTAACTTTGTACTCTTCATCTGTCTCTATCCCAACATCTTCCTGAATTGTAAAAACAACTATAAACAAGATAACCAATAAAATTTAGGCAGAACAGTAACCTTCTTATCCACAAATTTTATGTTTTAACAACTTAATGCTGTTACATTTAAAAGTGCGCTCTTTCTTTTCTTTTCTTTTCTTTTTCTTTTTTTTTTTTTTTTGGGGGGGGGGGGGATCTGGAAGATGATCTCTACAATCTTGGGAACTATAAAAAAGAGATATAAGTGCTTTTTTCATTACATCAAGGAAACATTAGTCATAATCAGAGGACTTACATATAGCTGCTTCTTTGTTTTTGGGTAGCCCTCTAATATGGCATTCAGAATGTCAGTGCTCTGAAATACATGATGAGAAGGTTTTAAAGAATTTCAAAACCCCCAAAGTACATTGCTGCTCCTCAAAATAAAAAAGGCACAATTGAAATCATACCCTTACATGCAAACATATCCAGCCACAACTCTAATATATTCATCAACAACATTAGACCTATGCAACCATACCCACTGATACCCAAACCCACACCTGTATCCAGCCAAACCCAGATCCATATCCAGCCAAATTCAGACCCATATACAGCCAAACCCAGACCCAAATCCACCCGCCTAACCATTGTCTCGTATCCAGTCTTACACATCCACCAACATTCCTACACATATCCATCCCCTACCCACACATATTCATCCCAAACCCACACATAACTATCCCATACTCACGCATATTCATCAAGTCTCAGCCTGAAACAACTCTCACACCAACATATCCATCCACCAACTCACACTGAAATACATATCAACCAAAGTGCACCACAAAATTGGGCACAAAGAACTGTGGATTCTGTTTTCTTTTTTTCATTTTTTCCAAACACTTAGGCTTCATTCACATACAATGTCTATTTTCTAAATTCTATTTTCTATTTGCGGTATGTCTTATGATCACGGTCTGTGCCCTGAATATCCCGCCGCGTAATTACTGGCAGCGCGAGCCAGTTACTTAGACCGTGATCATAAGACATACCGCAAATAGAAAATAGAATTTAGAAAATAGACACTGCATGTGAATGAAGCCTTAATGCAAAGTGAATTTTTCTCACTTGAAAACTTTATATTTCTACATTTTAATTTTAGCACTAGGATGCCCATACTTACTGTTCTCTTCCTCTTTCTCCACTCTTTCACAAGTTTAACTCTATTTTTAATAATCTGGAAAAATTCAAATAAAATATAATTCTGTATTTAAGATTATGAGACCTAGGCCCAAAGCCTAATACAATTATGAATTTGAATAAAATATATCAAATTTATTAAAATTTATAAAGAAAAGGCCAACAGCCAGAAATGTCAATTTACAAGGCAAAGAAAATCAAGCCCAAGATCACTTAAATGGAATCAGTTTCATGATTACTTTTGATCAAGTCTCATCTGTTTTCACCTTTATATCAATCTCTTGAGTGTATTTTCAACTGAATAAATTATAATAATTTCACTATAATTTCCTTTTTAGCCAAGGAAATAAATGGCTGTACACTAATCTTTGTGTTACTGATAATGTAAATAAGAAATCAATATTAGTAATTTGATTTGATTTTCTGTAGCACCAGATTGAAAATTCAGTGCAAACATCTCAAGCATTTTTATAATTTTTTTTCCTTGATTAAATATGACCACAATAAAAAGCTTTATCTATTTGTTGAATTTCACCAATCAATAAACAAAAAACTCACAACTTCTCTTTCTTCTGGACTGATAGCCTTCCCACCTTCTTTAAGCTGTGCTAGCTTCTTCTTATAGTTTTCCACCTTACAGAAGTAAATTGAGAAAAATATCACACACTATAAGACAATGCACATGTCATGTTTGTATATAAAACACAAACAGGAGAGAAAACTCATGATTACAGCTCTGCCAAAAAGTGGAAATATCATATTACTTAATCCATTATCAAAGCAATCACTGTCAAATTTGTAAATAATGCAATGCTGAAGTCTACCTACTGTATTTACTCTGTGTGTGTGTGTGCGTGCACACACCTGAGAGAGAGAGAGAGAGAGATAGAGAGACAGAGAGACGGAGAAAGGTGGGGGGGGGGGGTAGAGATACCTCTCCACGAAGCACTGTCAACTGTTTCTTGGCCTCATCTGTGCTCAGAGAACTATTCAGTCCTCTCAATTCTGAAAACAATGCATGCAGCAATGACAATACAATAAATAAAACAATGGGGTTTGGTTTTTAGAGTCCATTAACTATAGAAGTGACTGCAGAAGTATATGATATTTAACAGGTTTTTAGCAACCCAGCACAAACTATTCAGAACATAATTCTTCAAGGTTTGTCAATGGAGTGTCTGGTGTGATAATTTATGTTATATGAATAATTACCTGCAACTAAAAGCAACTGGACTATACAACAAGTTATGTGAATAGATACAATTTGTTGAAGAAATTATATATAAAATTAAATCATACTAAATAACATTTTATTAGTGTTTCAATTAATGAAAATTGGTGTAAAATTCAAGGTGTGAGTATGGATTGTATCAGGTGAGACAAATCAGGCAAGGTGTGGCAATGGGTTGCATCAGGTGTGATAAACTAGTTGTGACACTGTGTCTCATCTCACCATTCTCCATTTTCCTGGTTTCCTCCTGGAGAACCTTCAGTTCTTCTGTCATCTGTGCTATCTTCAGGTCCATTGCCTTCAGTTCTGTCTCATCACATGTGGGATATTGACTCTAAATAATAATAATAATAATAATAATAAATATTAAGCCATTTGGAAAAAAGGATTACGTTATTAATCTTACTTGTAACACTATGTCAGGGAGACATGGGGCTACTGCAGAAGATCCTTGTTTGAATAACATTTTAAAACAATGAGTAATCCCCATGAAAGTGAAGATACTACAAAAGTCCATCAACACCCTCCTTCCATTTACACATCGAAATACAAAACATGGTTTTATAAATGACATTTTCACAAAGCAGAAATCCATACGCTGCTGACATAACAAGCACATCGTTGTTACAATAATTCATATACTGAGAACATGCTATACCTGATCAGGTAAGTAAACTTTTTGTTTTCCATAGGTTTTCTCTTTAATCTTCCCCTCCTGTGCCAATGTTTCTAAAACTTTCACCACTGCCTGGAATAATGATTACATTAAATATGTAACAATTACCTATTATCTCTGATCTGAACAACTGTTTAGAGTGAAATAACTGAATTTTGTACAGTGCTGTCCTGTACAGAATTTGTGAAAAAAAAAAATGAAAATATGTGAAATAATGAAAATGAGGTTGAACTAAAATTACTAATGAGTACATGTATGATTGCTGTGAAAAAAATCTTTTGGTCTTGAAGTTTACTTGGTAAGTGCTGCAACAATAAAAATATCTCAGATACAGGGTTAATTTCATCCTAGTTATCATACTGCTCACTGTTTTCTCATACTTTTTGTGTAGGTTATTATTTCACTTACTGTTTTCCCATACTCTTTGTGTGGATTATTATTTCACTTACTGTTTTCCCATACTCTTTGTGTAGATTATTATTTCACTTACTGTTTTCCCATACTCTTTGTGTAGATTATTGAAGACGTCTATGGCACTGTAAGGTCTGTTTTGCTGGGTGAGATACTCTAGTACTGCCCCCTTGGCTAATAATAATAATAATAATAATAATAATAATATTACGACTTCATATATTGGCATACTAATTATCGTAGTACACATATGGAAAATGATTGACTGTGTAGTAATACTGAGAGACGGATGCAACTCCCCCCCCCCCACCCCCACCCCACATCTACAGTAAAAAGGCCCTAATCAGCACAAAGTTTTATGTGTTAGCACTCTTATATAGATTTATGTTGCACTTTATGTCAGCACAAATATGAGATTGACATACCAGGAAATGTGAAATGATGCATGAAACTTAACGTTACAGAGGTGGTAAATTCGAGGAGATTGAGATTCAAAGATGCACTTAGTATGCACAAGGCTAGCAAACAAAAACAGTTGACTTACCCGGTAGAACCTTTCACTTGCATGTTCATCATGCATAAAACAAAATTCTAATCACTCTTTATTACCAAATGTTCTATTATTTCACTATTTCTTATCTGTACAGTATAATTGATTATGGTTAACAGAACTGCATGCAGAAAAGCAGAAAATTCACTCTTTCCTGTTCCCCTTACCTTTTTCATCTTTATTTTTGCTCATTTTCCCAACGTTTTCCGAACTCGGTGTCTCAAAATATTTCACTCGAAGAAAAAGTTAATTGTTTTGTTTAGTTTCTATCCTTGGAAGGTTGAATTTTATGTCTGGGACTGTGGCACTACACTACAGTGTAGCCTTGACAGCCCTTGTAAATGTTGTCTCCACTGCCGTTTACCAAAAATACAGAAAATATTGCTTGTGTTTTCTTCCCTGATAAAAAAACTGGGATCTTACTTTACATGGAGAAAACAAGACGGAGTTTCAAATGTTCCTTTTCTAAATATATCCCTCAAAACCCACTTTTGCTGATCACAGAAAAATCTAATTTCCCTCTATTTCCAGCTCTTTTGTTGTTAAAGATAGGAAATGAATGCATTGGTAGCAAATCAACAGCGATGCTACAGAAATTAGCGGACAACATCGTCAAAGGGTAGGCTGCATTTCAATGACAACTGAACGATGAATTCATTTTATAGAGCACGGTTGTATTCATTCGTGTCAAATTAAGTTTATGTATCTACTGCAATATGAAGACTCGCGCCTACTTGATTCAGTTTCAGGGGGTTGGACTCGGTGTCCGCGCGCTCGATTATTTCACTCCTTGTCGAAGTTGTCCAAATAGCATGAAAAAAAGTCGGTACTTTTGTAGTATACCCCCCCACCCTGTAACTTCCTGAAACTTTCATTTTTCAAACAGTTTTTTACAGTGTCTTTTTCACCTATGTCAAAACTGTTGAAGTAAAATGTTTTTGTAATTACCCGTGGTCTTTTTATTAGTTTTAATCACGTTTAATCCACCCCATTGAAATACAATGTGAAAATTTACAATGTACCCGCAGTCAATAACTTGCCGCGTTTTCGTTGGCTAACTCTACCTTATTTTATGTGAACATAGGATTGATACATTGTATACTTGGACTTCATCTGTGATATGAGCTACTTGTTCACATAAAATTACCTTCGAGTAGCCCTTCTCTTTTCATTCACTATGTGTTATTGGGTTTAATCAGACTAGGTTTTCACATTGTATCAGCTGTCGCCAATCCCTTAGGCTAATCCATTCAGTTATGAGCAGGTACATTGTAACCGTGCAAGAACACAGTGTACTAAGCCCATTTTTGATTTAAGCGAAATTTTCACAACTTCCTGCTAATGCAACCCTAGATAATTATCATTCATTTATGTAACAATCCACTTTCGGATTTAATGTGTAATCTAAATTGTCATTGTCTAGAACTCCTATTTATATATTTTCTTATTTATTTGCTAACACTATTATTATTATTATTACAGACTTTAACTACATTATTTGAAGTTAGAAATATGTGTGTATACCTTTTGAAGTATTTATAAAATACCAAATAATAATTATTATAATTATCATATTATGAAGACAATATTTCTATGGAACGGCAATGATTTATGTTTCTATTAAACTTAATGCCTTTTCCCATTTCTTTTTTATCACATGTTTATAAGATGTCTGGACTTACAGAAGAACAGAAGAGAAGGATTGAAGAAAACAAGAAGCAGGCTTTGGCTAAACGTGCTGTAAAGGTTGCACAGCAGCAACAATGTCCTCCATCTGGAGCACAACAAACGCAATCGGTGAAACCTTCCACACACGTCGCGCCATCCAATCAAGCTTCTACAAATTGGAATGGAGTTGGAAGAGGTCAGAGTTCAAATTCTTTACTCAATTCAGGGAGAGGCCAAGGTTCAGGGCCAAATTTAAGACAAGTCAAAAGTCAAAGTTCAAATTTTCACCAAACACAATTTAAGGCTGGAGGTCAAAGTTCAAATTCTCCTCTGACACAACCTAGGACTGTGTTGGGAGGTAGTGGATTCCAAGGCAACTACAAAAACAAAAACTCAAGTTCTTCTCTAGCCAGAATGATAAATGCTTCCAGTGCACAACAGATTCATCAAGGTTCCAACACCAGCAGCCATAAAAGTAACACTCTAAGTGGGGGTTTTACTTCTCAAAACAAAAATACAAATAGTTCAGTTATTTTGAAAGATGGAAACTCTTCCCTCAGTGGGAATGTGTCTAATTCAAATAGTTCCAGGACTTGCATCACTGGGAACTCTGGAGCAACAATAGGCTGTGAATCCACACCTAACACTGTTGTTCCAGCACAGCATAAGCCAACTTCCACTCTAGTCTTCCCTTCCAGCAGTAGTAATGTGAACAGGAACACTTCTCAAAGCAGTTTCTACAAGAGTTCTGCATCACAAAACCAAGCTCAGCACAATAAATTTCAAAATGAAACAGGTGTTGCACCCAATACTAACAAAGGAGTTAAGAATATCCCACAATCTGATCTAGCAGCAGCAGTGACATCAGACAATTCTTTCTTCAGTAAGAAGAAGACTGCTACAGTGAAGGGGTCTGCTGTGTTGATATCAAGGGACAGGTTTGTCTTGAGTATTGGGTATTGCAGCCCCCTAGTGGAGATATGTAAAACTATGAAGACAAGGCAATATGGCAAGTAGTTTACATTGTACCAGTATACTGCAGGCTTATGGTGTACCCTGACTTTCAATGACTCCTCTACACTCACCAAAATGATTTCAATTTCTTTTTCAAAATGGTTTCAAAGGGTGCTGCAGGAAACTTCTGGTAGCCTCTGAAACTCAGGGTAGAGATGTTTTATGTTCCTGGTGGAGGAGATTGAAGAGAGATTCCACTAAGAACACATTAAGGCTCCGTTCACATGGAAAATCTATTTTCGAAAAATCTAAAAATCTATTTGCGGTACCTCGTGATTACGGTCTGTGCCTTCAATACCCCACGGCGTAATTACGGGCAGCGCGAGCCAGTTACTTCCAAAGCTGTAATTAATTCTCTGTGCTGCCAGTAATTACGCTGGGGTATCCAGGGCAGAGACCGTGATCACAAGATATCGAAAATAGATTTTTAGATTTTTAGAAAATAGATTTTCCATGTGAACAGAGCCTAAGAACAGCAGACTAACAGATCCATGGATCAGCAAGCATTCAAGTGGGTCGGCCATATTTGATCTATGGATCTGTTACTCTGCTGTTCTGAATGCAGTCTTAAGGAGAAAGTGAACCAGTATCTAATATCCAGTTATAGTGAAGATGAGACTGAAGTAATTATGTTAATCATTACTTATTACTTTTTGGTTTTAGATTTTTGAAGTATTTTTAAGAAGAGCTGTTATTTTCAGAAAAGTTAAGCAGAGTATTTGTGAGAAAATATTATTTCTTCATTTCAGATTCTGTAACCAAAAGATGGGATTTCAAACTAGAAGAATATGAAGAATTAAGTAAGTATATTCAATTACAGTCCAGTCCTGCAGATAGTTTTCCCCTTTGTCTATGGAAAGAGATTTTAAACAAGATACATTGTACATGTACATGTACTAGGCACTGGTACATTGAACCATGTAATATTGTTGTTTAAATGCATGATCATGAAACAAGACAGCACCTCAACACCCCAGAAACAAGGTTACCAAAGGATTATCTAAAATATTTTTTGAAATTGTAGTTATAATTTTTCCCAACTGAATGACTGCACATGCCTGCACATTTTATCAAAGTTTGTTAAAGGATATTCTGATATACTGTATTTCCTCTAAAATCAAGACATAAACTAATAAACACTGATCATAGCTTCGCTGGCAAAGGTAATGAATATTGTATATCTTAGATAAATTATCCAGGGGCGGATTTAGGCCGTCTTCTGGGTCTTCCGGAAGATGGTCAGATTTTCAAGTTTACATTGACGGTTATCTAATTTTTACTGTTGGAAGACGGTCAAAAATTGAGGACGAATCAACAAAGATAATTTGGAAGACAGTCAGTAAATAGCCCTGGATCCGCCCCTGTTATCAATCTGATTTCTTTCCCTATAGTGCGAAGGGCCAGAATTCTGATGCAGCAAGGAGTAATAGAACTGGAGGGTCTGCCCCAACCTCTTCTCCAGGCTTTTAAACCTGCCTGCCAAGGGAAGATCACAGACAACCACGTGCCAAACGCTGACTTGACACGCGTGCCTGACACACTGACTGGCTCTCTCATGCCTTTCCAGAGAGATGGAGTGAAGTGAGGATTTTTAGGAATTTCAGTTCTGTTTTTAGGATAACTTCATTTGATGGGGCCTACAAGTGAATGAGATGGAAATTCTTAATCTGATCATTAATTTTGCAGTCATTTGCTGACTGTGTCTTGGGAATACCTTATGGTTTAACAATTATATGACTTGACGTTGATGATATGTATATATTTGATATTTATTATTAGAATATTATCAATTATTATTTAGATATGCTTGTACAGAATAATATCAATAATTTCCTGCATTTGTATTTATTTATAAAGTGTTCCAACTACATGTCTAGTGAGTTATTTAAAATACTTTGAATGATTTTAATTTCAGTTTTGCCATCTCACGGGAAGGACGTGTTATAATAGCAGATGACATGGGTCTTGGGAAAACAATACAATCCATATGTGTGGCTTGTTACTACAGGAAGGAGTGGCCCCTTTTGGTTGTGGTGCCATCTTCAGTCAGATTTGCATGGTCCGAGGTAAAACTTTAATAGGAGCGCCTTTTAAAGAATGCTGTAGGAGTTGGCCACATACATAATTACTTGTGTTATATTACAGTCTGATAAGAGACAAATAATGATACCAGAAAGTATGGAATTGATTTTAAACCTTTTGTGAACAAGACATATTGGTATACATACATAACTGCATTGTATTTTCAAGTAATTTCTTTAACACAGTAAAAACATGTATTTCACTGTCCTCTTGCATTTAGATAAAAAAGTCAGGTCATGTGACTAGAGGGCTCAGGACTAAAGGGCCATACATTAAGGCATGTTAACTCTTTTTAGAAACAATTTAGCAGTTTTTTCTAACCATATCAGGGCGGCTTTAGTCCATCTTCTGGGTCTTCCAAAAGACGGTCAGATTTTCAGGTTTACATTGACGGGTATCTATTTATTTCTGTCGGAAGATGGTCGAAAAATGGAGGCTGGATCAACAAAGATAATATGGAAGATTGTCAGAAAGTATCCTCTGATCTGCCCCTGCATGTTGTTATGTCTATCATTACATTTTTTTTGCAGCAACTACAAAGATGGATCCCTAATCTCAACCCAGATGACATTAATGTGGTGGTGACTGGTAAAGATGACGTCACAGCCGGGAAAGTTGTCATTGTCAGCTATGACATGATGACCAAAAAGAAGAATGATCTACAGCATGTAGGATTCAAGGTGGCCATTTTGGTAGGTGATTGATGAAGAAAATGATTATTTGATTATTTTATTGGCCAAATTATGCCAATGAACAATTTAATAAATATGACATAAAAGTAAAATGGATAAAAGTTGGGGGCATTTTTCCCAGATCTACCGGATAGAGAATCTGACTTAAAACAAATTGTAGAACACATGGTTGCAAAGAGACGCTGGTCTTAAAGCTAAAGAAAATGCATGTTCATGTTTTTAAAATTAGGAAAGGCACCCTGACTTCAAAAAAATTGGATGTAGGTCAAGTAGTAGATATTTATAGATGTACCAGATGAACACTTGATGGCATTATGGTATTTGGCATTAATGAAATTTCTATTATACATTGTAATATGTTTCAGGACGAAAGTCACTTTTTGAAAAATTTCCGCACAGCAAGGTGCCAAGCAGCACAACTGATTTTGAAGGTAATTTTAAAATGAACAAAACAGTAAAGGCACACAATAGGCATTAAACCTTATTTATATTTACCGGTACCAGGTATGAAAAAGTAAAAATTCCCAGGGCAGTTTTTCATCAATATCCCTTATTTAAAAATCTCTTTTCATCACTATTCAGGTATCCAAACGTGTGATCCTCCTCTCAGGGACGCCTGCGTTATCTCGTCCCGCGGAGCTGTACACCCAGCTGAGGCTCGTCAAGCCTCAACTCTTTCCCAACTTCCACCTCTTTGGTCTACGATATTGTGATGGTAAACAGGTGGGTTAAAGTGTTGACCGTATTATATTGCATATCCAAATTAAAGCACTTCTGCCAAAGAAGAAGGATATATTTTTATTAATGATGGTTTGTCTGTTTTTTAGTGGAGAAGATTTTTCTGAAGGTCTCAAATTTTGATGAAATATGAACTGACTAATTAAGAATGCTTGTGCTTTTTAGTTGGGGTATTTGCTTTATCAGATCATATGCCAATTTGTTTCATCTTTTGGCATTCAGTTTATTAAATAAATCCATTCTATGTCTAACTTAAGGAGTGGAGAAAAAAGAGTTTAATTTTGTTTCATCAGTATCTGGCAGAGCTTGTTTAAAAATTATCTCCCTAATAGGCATTTCTGATTTGAATGACGTGAACCAAAAGTTCATAACACTTTCAATTGAAAACATCATATTACCCAGAGATTCCATACTCTACATGTGATATCAAGGGGTCTACCATCTAGTGGCCCAAATTGGGTCTGCAGCTGATTTGTTATGTAATTATATTGGTTTGGATACTGGTGATCAATTGAGTAAAATTGCATCATATGGTAAGAAATAGATGATCTTATTTTGAAATTTTCCCCAACACATATCATTGAACTAACATAATTATAGATGACAATGTCTCCTTATCCCATTATAGAAATACTGAAATCAACATTTTCAAGTTTGAAAATGTATTCACACTGAGAGTTTACAGTTTACAGCAAAGATTATTTGACACTTTGGCTTATACATTCTTTATTGGATACAGTAACTTATAATGATCATAGTTAGACATATGAATAAAATACTATTTCAAGGAAACAGAAAATACTACAAACAGCACTCATTGTACATTGTACACAAACTTCTTTTCACACTTTTTGGTTACTAAAAATCAGATATCTTGAAAATTATTTACTTATCTTACATGTACCAGCATATATTAATAATAACATGTAATATATCACATTGTACCTTATATTAGTATAAGTAACTGTAGCATGTAAAGAGATGTAGTGTATATGTATAGTTGGGGTTACGCCCTTTTTGTGTTATATGAGTCATGTGGCCCTATTCTATAACAAACCTTTGGCGTGTAATTCGTGAGAAATACACAAGGAGATATCGTGTGCACACAGAGAGATACACTAGTGATTGGACATGAAGAAAGTACTGTATTTTATGTAAAATCAAGCGGAATAAGGACTTTTAAAAGGACAATGCATTTGTCGTGCAACGGTTGCAGACACTTTAGGTAGTATTTTCTATAGTATATATTCAGAACTAGAATAGGATATGAAATCCTTAATGAATTTTTGATAATGATAGTAATTGTATAATACTAGTAATTACACATGATTATAAAACAAAATTGTCACACAAATGAAAAAAGCATTGTGAAATGGCATAAATTGTAAACAGAACAACTTTATCACACAAATTAAAAAGCATTGTAAAATGGCATAAGTTGTAAATGGAACAATTTTATCACACAAATTAAAAATCATTGTAAAATGGCAAAAGTTGTAAATGGAACAATTTTATCACACAAATTAAAAAGCATTGTAAAACAGATATTTACATTGACAACACTTCTAATTACATTTACTAATGGCATTTGGTAACATCTCCCATGATTCAAATTTCTCATTTAACACGTTTTGTAAAAAGTTTTTTTTTCCACATTTAGGTGTTCAATTTTTGTTATATGAGTTTGCTTATGGCGTACTCATGAAAGAAAAAAAAACTTCAGTGTACACATTCACTTCATTCATTTTTGCCACCTCTACACAAGACCCAATTAGATATGTATTTCACCAAACAAAATACTAATATTGCTCTGGAAAATGTATTTGATCTGTTTTGTTCAGATATGGTGAGTAATATCTGCACTTATTTTTAGAATAATTTTGGCTGGGACTACAGTGGATCCTCTAATTTGCCAGAGCTCCAACTTCTCTTGGGAGAGACTATAATGATCAGGTAAGTAAATTATGTTTATTAGTTTGCTCTTAGAGTTAAGGTACGTTACATCAAAGGGCTTTGATCATTTGGTCATTTGGCTGACTCATCGTTGTGAGGTCCAGAAGGGTAGACACATCACGCCTTATCAGTAGAATCAAAAAAATTTTTTTTTTTTAAGATTAAGATATAATTTACCCTAGGCTTTTAAAGGTTTCACGTCGGATCGTAGGAATGGCCTGAATGGAGCATATTCTTCAGAAAACATGCCAAACTAACAATATCTTTATCCAAATACAAATTAAAAGCTTGTTTTGTAAATTTTGTCTTTTTTGCTTGGCCTGGGAGTTAATGAACTACTGGTCACGTGGTCCGATGATGACAATCGTGCCACCGGAGTCTCTTCTCCAAGCAGTGTGTTTAGTTGTCAAGCTGAGCTGCATTTTCTACCTGTAAGATGACTTTTCTGACTCCAGACAAAAGTTCATACTCATTCAAATCCCTTACCTGTAGCTTTATACTTACAAGCAGTGGGATTAGGTTAGGAACCATTTTATTACAGCTGTCCCCATTCTTTTTATGTACAGACACAGATGTGTCTGTACATTTTGCCATCACCTGCGTCTGTCGTCGCCGTCGCCGATGCCGATGCCGGCGCCGGCGCCGTGCACTTTCCTTGTAAACACGATAAGTGGAGGGCAGTTTTACTTTTTGGCTTCATATTTACAGAGCTGATGAATATTCATAAAATGCAGGTCAAGTTCAAAAATCAGCATGATTGGGCCATTATTGTAGAAGTTATGCTGTTTTTTCACTTTTCAGCATATATGCAACACTGTAAACACATTTTAAGGAAAACAATTAGGCCTGTTGTCATGAAACTCGTAGGAATTATCAATCTTACTAAAACGCAGGTCAAGTTTGAAAATCGTCATGATTGGGCCACTATTTTAGTAGTTATGCTGTTTTTTCATATTTCATTTCAAGGAAAACCGATAGGCTTGTTGTCATGAAACTCACAGGAGTAATCAATCTTACTAAAACGCAGGTCAAGTTTGAAAATCGGCATGATCGGGCCACTATTTTAGTAGTTATGCTTTTTCACTTTTCAGCATATATGTAACACTGTAAACACTATATAAGAAAAACAGATGGGCCAATTGTCATCAAACTCACAGGAGTGGTTATTCCAGCTAAAACGCAGGTTGAGTTCAAAAATCAGCATAATTGGGCCATTATTTTAAAGAAATGCCATTTTTTCACATTTTCTCAGATTCAATTCTTAGGCATGTTAACAGTTTCATTATTTAATTATTTAATAAGATACGTGAAAGTGTTTGTTTGGCATTTCCTGCATCTTTACAACATTATTAGTTGATTATGTAAAAATGATGGTAAACTTGTTATCTTGTATTGTGTAATAAAGTGTCAAAAATGGAAATAAACTCATATCATTGTAGTTTGTCAGGTTCAATCATTCACTATGTTCAGAATCTCAGAATGGAGGAAATTGGACATTTAACACTGCTCTATTAATATTTTTCCCATCTCATCAATTTTCTTAGTTGATCATATAAAAACGGCAGAAAACTGTTAATTTTGTTTTATGTTAAAAATTGTTAAAAATGGAAAAAAAAAAAACATTTCAGAACAGTGCTGTCTTGTTTATATTTTGGCATTTTCAAGTTGTGACTTTGAAGTTCCATGGGCCTGAAGACCTTTGCTAGTCACATTTTCTGAATATCCATAATACTAATATTTTATTATTAAAGTTGATGGTCATTATGCTGTTAAACATTATGTAATATTGCATCAAAATTTGAAAAAAAAAAAAAAAACTATTTTAGGCACTGCTCCAATGATGACCATTTAAGAAAAAACATGTCATTTACTGTTCTCAAACTTACAGGAAAGAAACATGGGACTAAAATACAGCTTCAGTAGGAAATACAGTCTGTTTGGTAATTCTTACTGCCAGTAATTTAACCATTTTGTGTTTTGAAAAAAAATTTATTTCATTTTTTGGTACCTGAATATATGCTGTAAACATCTTGTATAGCCATCATACATAACTACGTCGGCCATACGAGTTATTTGTCAGTGAATATGGGGTTACCAGAACATTTTATATAGAAAAGCATATGGGAGAAAAATTTCAGGCTTAAATATAAAACGCTCTAAAAAATAAATTATTTTAAATATGCAACTTTTCGGGCTCAATTTATTAGTTTTTACCATAGTTCTTCACAATAAATTAAAAGAAAACAAAATCTGGGAGGGTCATGTTCCAATGCCCCTATGTTATTTTTCTGATTCTTACAGAGACTGTTACTTAAACAGTTATTTTGTGAAAATTTAATTTTTCACATATTGGCATTTTTAAGGTGTGACTTTGAAGTTCCATGGGCTTGAAGACCCATGCTAGTCACATTTTCTGAAAATCCATGATACGTATATTTTATTATTAAAAATTGACGGTCATTATGCTGTTAACCATTATGTAATATTGCATCAGAATAGAAGAAAACACAATTTTGGGTGCTGGTGCCATGATGACCATTATGGGAAAACCATGTTACTTATGATTGCCAAACTTTCAAAAAAGAAATACAGGACTAAAATTCAGTCTGAGTTGGAAAAGCAGTCTAAGTGACTTCTTTTTCTGGAAGTTATACATTTTCAAAGTGTAAACTTGTAACATATTTTAATTACATTGGTATTACCTGTTGAGGATAATTAAAATTTGATGTTGAATTTGCAGTTTAACATAATGTATTTTTGCATCAGAATTGACAGTAGCCTATTTTGTGCATAGTTATTTCCTGTTTTTTGTCTGTACATTTGACAGCTTTGCTGCCTTGTTTATCATTTGTGGTAGGCATATGGTGGAGCCTATTGTGTCATGAGTTCAAAGCATCTCCGTGGTGATACTAACTATACTTGGCCAACAGCTGAAGTGGCAGTAATGGGAGCACAGGTAACTACAGTAAATTGTTTGAGGAGTTTATGATGATTATAAATCATCTAGTTGTTAAAACTAGTTTATACTCAAAGTTTTAAAAATCTGTCTTTGGACTTTAAGTATCTGTGAATAGATGATTGCTCTAGTTACTGAGATGGTTTTTTGCATCCGTAAACCGTCAGTGACCAGTAGAGGTCTTTGCAAGGAGACAGCAACATTATCAAATCTGGAACAACCGTCTAATGCCAAATCAACATTGCCAGACTGCAAACAGATTAAATTGCATGAGTGTCAGTCACCTAAATTTCAGCCAAAAAATAATTAATGCAGGAAGAAGTGAAATAATAACAATTTTGGATCTTAAAGAATGGTGTACTATTTTTACATTTCAGGGAGCAGTGCAGATTATTTTCCGCGATGAACAGAAAAGATCAGCAGCAGAGAAGGAATATGTGGAGTCATTCTCAAATCCTTTCCCAGCTGCTGTCAGAGGTAATAATTGTTTATTTGTTGAAATATTTTTTATTAATATTTTTCTTCTTCTTTGAAGTGCCAACTCATGTTAGTTATACCTGTGGCATTTTTCAGCATATCAATAGTTTAGAATTCAGCTGATTTTACATTGCATGAATATCACAACATGAAATATCTCATAACCCATTTCACTATATAATACAAGTCATATTTATCAGTCAAGTTATTAAAAAATTAATCACAGATTTTATAGTCATTTTTTAACCATGACATTGTTCATTTCATATTATATGACAATAAACTTATTTTCACTTATTGCAATTTTGAAATGATTTAGCCATGATAATAGCCATCCTTTATTATGTTCTCTGTATCGTAGGCTTTAGCCAGTGAGCAATCCAGGAACCATTTGGATGGACCTTTTGAAAAGCTAGCCCCCTCCCCCCTTCTCCCTGTAGTGTCTGAAATACATGTAAATCTGTCCCATCTCATATTTTCGAAAGTAAATTCTGATTTTTGCTTCCAGGCTATGTTGATGACATCATCATGCCTCACACCACCAGGAAACGCATCAACCAGGACCTGGCGCTCCTACAGAGCAAGAAGCAAGAAAACCCCTGGAAGAAGCACGGAAATATCCCTCTGTAAAGATGGCCTCTTTAGTGTGCTTAATCCCGGAAGTTCCAGTCCGGTCTGACAACAAGGAACAGTAGATTCACATAACCAACTTGGCACAAAAATTGCCAGTGTCAATTAGAACATGATATATGGGAGGTCTACTGTATGTGTAATATAGTGGCATTTTTACAGTAATTTTGCCTATCAGAAGGCAAGGTGATCCATGCACTTGAAATTTGAATGAAATTCTAAACATTTTTTTCTGATCATTGAACAATGCTCTCAGTTGTCAGCATATAGGTCTTTAGTTGGCGTTTTTTTTTTTTTTTTTTTTT